AAAAGCTCTTGAATCCTGCCATCAGGAAACAAATCTCTTTTATTTTCCAAATATATCTTTGGTCCCCATTATCATGTGTTCTCTGTAACAGCCTACTTAGCTTTTCTGTTTTTCTAGTTAGCTTTTGAAACTTTAAAAAATACCATTACAGTCTCCTGCTTACAAATGAAAATTGATTCAGAAACCTACAGGCCTGTGACTGTAGCAGAGAAGCAGAGTAGAACTTACAGTGTGCTGAGAAAAGGAGGAGCAGAGCACTGTCGTTGTGACTTTGCAGTTGGCACTCTTCACTCGGAGACAGAGCAGACGGAAATGCATCTGTCATCAAATGTTACAAAGGCCACTGCTCTAGTTAAACTGTTGTGAACTGGGGCACTCGAGGCTGAGGTATTCAGGACTTTTATTTTCAGCACATGTCCCCAATCATTCCTGCCGAAATGAAGGCCATCTCTTGACTCCAAATGTACCATTTCCTCCGTCACACATAATATATAACTTTCATCCGACAAATAAAAACAGGCAAGTGAAAAAATGCTACGTTCTCAGATAAAAGAAATTGAAAGCGTTTGAGAAAAATCAAATGGGGAAAATTTTGCTGGGGTCTATTAAACCAAAAAATAGATTTCTACCACAGTCTATTCAACCAAAAAGATTGATTTCTGGTTGTGTACTCTAAATGTGTTTCTATTCATTTTATCATTTGTTCTGTAAAAAAAACTTTACAGGCAACAAAACAAAATTCAAGATTTATTTTAAAGTTCATGTAAAATATTTTTATACAAATCTGTACCATGTGCAGTCTTTCTCAAATTGGTGAAGAGAGCTATATTTTGTGACTTTTTCTATTCAAATGATAACCAGACTTGAATCTGTATCATTTATTTCCACCAGAATGTAGCAACTGGCTCCAGAAGTCCTGCAGGTACTGCTTTCATCCTGGCAAACATTCTGCATTTGTCTTCTCATGATTGTGTTCTTTTTCAATAGCAGGTGAAAGCCATTGTCTATTATTGGACAAGATCAATAGGAAAGAATAAATCTGAGCGCCATAATCAGAAGATATTTTTCTATCTAATAACAAGCAAAGGTACATAGTGATTATAGACTCCGGATTCAAGTTTCTCTGATTCAAATTCTAGTCATTGACCAAGTAACTATAAGCAAGTGATTGAGTTTCTCTGTACTCAGAAGCCTCACTTATAAAATGGAGGCAGTAATATCAATATTCTATGAAATTGTTCTGAGAATTAGATGAGTTGACATGTATAGAGCCTTTCGGGCAGCTCATCATAAGTCCTCAGTAAATATCAAAATCCTGAAATAGTTGCATTTCCTCATGTGATTCTTCCAAAATATTTTAGGGCTAGCTAGCATTCAATCATAGAGATAAGCAATAATTGATTTAACTTACTCTTCAAATAGAGTAAATTTTAGATCATCTCAAATTTTTGAATATTTGTTTATTTTTACAGATTTATTTAGAATCACATTAACTTCCAAGAAAAGTGTTTGTTGGATTTATTTGGAATTATATTAAACATGCACGTTTTCTTAGGAGAGATGCTTTGTAACGTTGTCTTGTTATACAACTTGCCTACCTGCATAGGCAAGTCTTTTTAAAACATGTCTCCAATATTTTACATTTATTTTCATGTAAATCATTCAATTTTCTTTCCTACACTGATTCTTAGGTATGTCACAATTCTGTCATTGAGTTATTAAATAGAATGTATTCTTATTTTTTACTATTATGGAAATATATAATACAGTAAGACCTTGATTCATGAACACTTCCATTTGTGAACTCCACATCAGCTGAGGAACATGGATGCATTTTCCCCAGAATTCTGGGACCAGTTAAGTCTACGGTACCACTGTACCTCTAATTAATAAGATAAGTTTGTAGGGAAATGATTACAATGAATGACATTCTTGTTTCACCTTCTTTACATCAAGGATTTCAGTAGAACTATCTCATTCCAAATAGAAAAAATAAGAACAAGACAATTCCATGCTTAACTAACATTTCCATTAATGGGTAGTTAAATGACAAAAGTCTAACATTAGTGCAGTTAACTTTTCTTTACATACTCAGCATATTGTACTTCTGTGATTTCTGTTTATTTACTATGTTGCTTATTTTTCCCCAACCCCAAAGAGTGACAGCTGCCGTGGTCATGTGAACATGACCAATATCTGATCACTGTCTCATTCAGTTATTGATTTTTTCTTTCATTCATTTTGTAAATATATATATTTTAATTAAGTTTATTGGTGCATTTTAGGTATACCTAATGATCACATTCAACATGGGCTATCTGTACCTGTACATAACTTTGTACTTGTACATGATGTGATTTGATTCTTTTTCTTTCCCAGTCCCCTACTCAAAATATATGTTAATCTCCTTTTTTCTTCAAGAAATTTTAGTATATATTTAAGAGCTTTGGCTTTGGCCTCCAGGTGTTTATCTTGTAGAGGGCAAGAGAGAAAGAAAGGATTAGATAAATAAATTTCTGATAATGTAATTTCATAAGTTTTAAATAATTTCCCAGCAGTAAGTTAATAAGAGAGACTTACCAAAGCTGGGTCGGTGTACTGTAGCAAAAGGAACACTATTTCAAAAGGGAAAGGGACTAAGATGTGGAGGAAGTAGGGAGGGAGGTAGTGAGAGAGGAAGATAATTTTGAAAAGTATTCTCTTTAAATTTAAAATAAAAAAAGTTTCCAAAAAATATATTAAGACTTCTTAACTACATGCGTCAGCTCCCCATGATGTATATAGCCATTACATACTGCAAACATGTACTAAAAAAGAGCCCCTCTCTGAAGAGGTAACATAGAAACCGAAACCTGAATAATATGAAAGATCCGAAGAGAGAACGTTGCGGGTAAACTAAGTATAGAGCTCCTGAGGTTGTTACACTTTATGACTGGAGACGCAGCACTAGAACGAGGGAGGATGAGGAGAGGTAGTGGGGAAGATAAAACAGGATCATATCACACAGGCAAGTCCTTCCTGGCTAGCATTTTTCAAAATTTATTGTGCATATAGATCATCAGGGATCCTGTTAAAACGCAGACGCTAATTTAGGAGGTCTGGGGCTGAGCCTGAGATTTTGAAATCCTAACAGGCTTCTAGGGAATGCTAATGCTGCTGTTCCTGAGACCATTATGTGACTAGAAAGATTCTGAGCTATAAAAGTAGGCTAAGTTTTAATGTAAATGTGAGTGGATGCCATAAAAGAGTCTTGGGTTATGGATGAAATAATTAGTTTATATTGTCAAAGGATCACACATGTTCCTGTCTATAAAATAGCTTGCTGATAAGAAAGCAAGGAAGCAGGACACCAGGGAGGAAACTGCTTCATTAGGCAACAGATGAGAGTGACATGAAGGAATGTCAGCTGCGAAGCAGCTCCCGAGGCATGGTCACATTTGATAAGTATTTTGATGCTGGGGTTTAAACGCTTGACAGACTAGATGTTGATGGGAAAATAAGAATACTCAAAACAGACTGCCAACTTGTACATGGAGCAGCTGGGTGATTTGTGCTTGTGCTAACAATGAGGATATTCGGAAGAACAGGCAGGATGGGGTGGAGGTCAAGGATTTGGTTCCAGAAGTGACAATTTTAGCTTATCATATTAAAAATCAAATGGAAGTGTTAGTATAAATTTGTTATATTTATGGAGACCTCAGGTAAGAGGCTTAGATAGACATGGAAATTTTGGAGTTGTTATATTTTAAAGCTCTGCAATTAAATGATATCAGCTATCAAATAAAAATTATAGAGAAGATATGAAGTTGAAAAGGGGAAGAAAGTCCAGCCAAGGAAACTGAGCGGCAGACAGCAGTGGGGTAAGGTAAAAAAAAAAAGAAAGAAAAAGAGAGCACGAAGCTCCAGAACTCAAGCGAAGTGTTTCAGCACAGCATCTGGGCAATGCTGGAGAAGAGGAATCAAATCCAGTCTCTGAGAGTTCACACGGAATGAGTGAGAGCTGGCCACTGGATTTCGCAGGCTGTGCGGTTGCTAGTTTAGCGAAAGTGATCTTGGCTAATAGGGTGATAAATTCTTCACCGGACTGTAGGAAGGGGGGCATGGGAGGTGATAAAGCGGAGGGAGAGGTGACAGCTCTTTTAAGGACTTTTTCTAGGAAGAGGAACAGAGAAATGGGTCATATATGGCGATTGCAATTTTAAGATAAGAGACTCTGAAACGCATTTATGAGCTGATATAAATGACAGGTCATGAGAAGATAATAGTTATGCAGGTGGGGTCTGGCTGTGGAGAGGAGAAGAAAATGAAAAGAGGGAAGGCAGAGTACATTCATGATGAAGATTACATAGACTGATAGATGTGGTGGGGGAAAGATGAAGCGCTTCTCTTCTGGATACTTGTAGTTTTCAATAAAATTATAGTCAACCTACAGTGAAAAATGAGGGTGCTTATTAGAGATTTGATCCCTAGAGAACAAGTGTGATGTAATAACCTTAGTGTGAAACAAATCTAGTACAAAAAAGCACTAGAATTCCAAAGGCAGTACTGCCGTTTCAGATAGCGCAATATAATGAACATGAACTAAGTGGGATTTCTTCTAGTTACAATCATATTTTAAAAGAAAATAGCAAGGCTATGAGGATACATGCACAGGAGAAATTGTAGCAATGGCCCACGGCTTTAAACCAAGTAAAATGAAAATGAAAGCTTGAAAATTGTTAGGTCAACACGTTATCTAAGTAGGGCTAAAGAAAAGTTCTTTAAGTATGTCAATTGAAAGATGCGAGGTTCTTTGATTCTTTAGATAAATAAAACCGTGTATAACACACCCCTGAAATCTCTCAATCGGCTGAATATGCAATTTTTTAACCACATGTCCACAGCTTGAGCATTCTGCAGTTTTCCAAGGACTTACTGTAGATTTCTTTTAAACAGTAAGAATAAGGTTTCACTTACTTATAACTTCCCAGAAGTACATCTATTGAGAAAAGCAATGTTCATCAGTGTAGCAAGTATATCCCTTTTTATTTGAAAACATTTTAAAATGTTGTAATGTGACAAGCTGAAAAGCAATGATTCAAAGCAAATAGAGCATTACAGCACCATTCTTAAGTGTTGTTTTGTCTCTCTGCTTATTATTCTCTCAACAGTAATAACGAGAAATCATGTCACCACGTCTGAGTGCTAATACACTTCAGCATAATCCAAACAGCAAACAAATAGGATCTTGTAAAGCCGTCTCCAACACTCTTCAGAAAACTGTTAGAAGGGCAAAAAGTCCATAAAGTAAGGCACAAGGGTAGGCAACGAGAAGCTGTTGTCCTTCCATATCCAAGGCCGAAATGAAGATCTTGGAAGCCGAGAGACTGCACCAACCGATGACAACCAGGGCTGTCAGGGTCCCCGTGGCACCCCTGTGGTGAACACAAAGGAGTTGATTCTCTTACATCAGGAGAAAACAGGATGCCTGAGTCAGAGTGGCCTCCAAAATGTCGTTGGTACAATGTCTATAACTACTTTCTGCATTTATAAAATAAGGCCAGTGAAACGTGAACTAAAATGGCCTCAACCTGTTAGGAAATGTTGAGTCATTTTTGCCAGAAAGACAAACATTCAGTACAACTAGAATTAGTAAAAACATGGCATTAGCCACAGTCCCTCTTATGTGTCATGCTCAAAGCTCAACCCTGAAGTTCTCTTGTATGCTACAATTAGAGTCTTCTCTTTTTGCCACAGGTTTTCTTTCTGCTCTTGTCTTCATAGCTGACCCATAGCAGGAGAACAGAAATAAACAGTCATGTTCCAGTAGGGGTACTGGGTCCCCCTCCTCCCATTTACACCCCAAGTTTTATCAGCGAGAGCAAAATTCCGGTAGTGAATATATGGAATAGGAAAGCACAGATCATCTGTTTGTCTTCCAGTGCACCCAGTAATAATCATTTTGTACACCAATGTGCATGGTTTCAGAACTTTGCAATCCATCCATTCTGGAATGGGTTTGTTCAAATGGGCATCATCAAAAAATTAAATGTGGAAACAATCTATTATTTAAGAATGAATAAACAAAGCAGTTTAGTCTAGAAACTTGGAGAGTACGAAGTGAGACACAGATGGTAAAAATTAATTTCTTTCCTTACATGTAAAATAGAACTCATTATTTATAAACATAAGACATACAATATCAGAGAAACCTCAGGAGCTATGTACTGTCCAGCTTGAAAGCACGAAAATTATTTGATAAAATGAAATAAAGATTTCCCAACTAGCGTAGTATTCTTATAGAGATATTCTTTCTACCATCAAACTACACAGCCTCACTTGATCCTAATTTCACTCTAAAGTTGAGGATTATGTTTACTCCTTATAAGTACAGAAATACCTTTTTTTCAGAAATACTTTTAATTATTGAACCCAATCAAAACTGTTGAAAAATTTTACCATGTAGCTTATAATGCCTTGAATTATTAAAAAACAAAAATATTTTAAAGCACCTAATAAATACTATTTTCATTGGTTTGAGTAATAACTATTAGGAATAATTTCCATAGTGATTTCATGTATGTTTATGTGAATAAAAATACAAAGTTATACATTATTTATTTTAATATTATAATAATATGCCTAAAAAGATTAATTTAATAGTATTAGCGTTCCCACAGCTCATTCGCATATAATAGAATATTTCTAAATCACGTGTTACGGTTTGGATACTCAATACCCCCGAAGGTCCATGTGCTGAAAGCTGGCTCGCCAGATTGGCACTATTGGGAGACGACTGAATCTTAAGAGGCTGGGCTGGCTGGGAGGAAGTTGGGTCACTGGGTGTGGGGGCCCCTTGAAGGGAATAATGGGAACCCAGGTCCTTCTTTTCTCTTTTTTTGCTTCCTGGACTCCATGATGTGAACACCTTTGCTTTACCTTACCCTCCCCGCCATGATCTGCTTTCCCACAGGCCCAGTGGAACCAGCACTAAAGACAATGGAACCTGGACTGAAACCCCGAGTCAAAATGAATAACTTCTCCTTAGATGAGCTTAACAACCAGAATGAATGTTTATATTTTTTAAAATGTCACGGTAAAAGACACATTGCCTTTAAATCCTCCTCAGAATGCTCTTCGTCACACCCGACACACTTCTCCTGTCATTCTTGCCACCATTTGAAGCAGTTGTGAAAGCTGTTTTCCAAGAGCGTTGTTAGTGGCACTGTAGTGGCTGCCTCAGTGTCCTAAACTAACGGAAAATGTTTGCCTTTCACTGTCATTTTCACTTTGGGGAAGAACCGGAAGTTGCACAGTGATCTAGCTGGTGAAAAGGTGAGTGAGGACATACTGTAGTGTTTTCATTTGACAGAAGTTGCTGAACCAGAAGTGAGGTGTGACATGGAGCCCGGTCACGATGGAGAAGCCATTTCTCAGCCCATTTTCTATGCATATCACTTTTAAATACTGTAATAAGCCCTTATCATTTTCAGAGCTCAACGTAGTGGTCCTTGGTACAAACTCAGCTGCATAATTATGTCAAGATGAGAAACAGAATCAATACCACCTGGATGAGCAGAACTGGATAATTTCCACTGAGGCCTCTACATCTTGGTCTCAAGATCATAAGCATAAACCAGGCTCCATTTCCTGCAATGACACTTTTTAAAAAGCTGGAACCTGAAGCAGCATGTTTGCACAACTTCAGTGAAATGCACTGATCCCGACACATGATTCATGGTACACTTTAAAAAGTACCTTCTCTCAACTGAGGCAACAGCTGACTGACTGCACCAAACAAGCTGAGACTAGTCCCCACTGAGGTTCAGTGCCTGCTTCTAGTATTAAAGATCCCTCCTTCCTGTTGGATGGCGATTGGCAGCAGCGTTTGCCATCATTGTTTAATATACCCTGTAAGTTGATTTTCTCAGGTATTTTGTCACAGTGATGAGACACACACTCCTTTGTAATTTCAGAATGAAAATCTAATGAACGAGTCCAAACTTCTGATTTTCCCAACCCAAGAGTTTTAGCTTTTACTTTCCCCTCATGTTCTGAAGTCATTTATTATGTCCCAAATGTCAAATTTACTGAAAATGCTTAAAATTTAGAATTTCTAAATGGCAGACCATGGTATTGTTCTTCTGTAAAAGCATCCGACATAATAGAAATTATAGAACTAAACTGTATGCTAACATATTAAACTTTTGTACTGAACAGTCTGGTGAATCAAACTGATTGCCCAAGAATGTAATACATAAAATGTGGACACTTTCCACAGATAAGACTCAATAAATAAAGCGCATGTTATGTGTATGGATTTGGGGTTTCCATTTCCTGCCATATTCTTCTTTTCACATGTTCTATTAGTTCATGTTGGTTATACAAATGGATGGACAGATCTGCACATAGCATAGCATACTGTAATCATTTTCCCATCATCCCCTTTGCTCCAAGCCCCAGTTTCACAGTGGAGGGTTCATTGTGTATATTTCGGTAATATTCATCCCTGTTACCTGCCCCAAGTCCTCTCCCCAAGCCCTTATTCACTTCTGTTTGGCCAGTAAAAGTCTCCCTTCTACTTTCTGGTCATCTTTTTCCAGATTCCTCACATTAGGGAAAATGTGCAATATTTGTCTTTCTGAGCCTGGCTTATTTTGTTCAACACACAGTCGTTTTTATTAAATGTGGGCTCACTGCTAACGTAAGGGTTGTTTGTAAGTTGTTCTCAAAAGTATTACTTTAAAACTGAGACCACGCCAAAACAAAATAGCACTTCTAAGTCATTTTCAATAATGTGGTTAAAACAATGATTTGTGATCAGAATAAATATATTTTTAAAATTTGTAAGCTCTTTATCTGTGTATCGGTAAATTCTTTGTATACTCTTCTGTCCAGCGTAGCATTAATAACCTAACAATTATATCATCTAAGAAGAAAATGTAAATCAGGTTTTCTTTTGGGTGTGGAAGAATGAGCACTGAGAGTAAATATTTATTTCCAAGTGGACTGAGAACAGGGCAGGTGACGATGGACTATGTAATCACTTGTTCTTTCTAAAGTGGTCGTGATGTGCGTATCCCCGGGGAGTGCCCTGCAGGAATTTCTATCTACTGTATCCTTGTTAAGCTCTGAGTTGCAAATATCAACAGCCTAAGAGAATGAAGAAAATTTTTTAAAAGTGTACTCAATGAGCATATATATTACAAAGCTCTCCAGAATTAATCTACTCATCAGGGTTCCTGGGAATTCTACACTGCAAGGAGCCCCGCGAAGATAGGAGCTTTCAGCCTGAAAGGCAGAGTGTCTGGAGTCGAAGCAATTTGTCAACCTCCCACAGGAGACACTTCCAAAATCAAATCAGTGCAATTTCTGTATTTGTTACATTACCCATGGTAATAGTGAATACCTAAGAAGGTGACACCATAAAAGTGCCAACTTTAAACATCACCAGGCTGCTTTCATGTTTTAAATCCTGGAAATGGAAAGCAACAGTTAATGCTTAAACGTTTCTCTTTTTTCTGACCCGTTTTGTGAGATTATATCTGGCAATCTGAACAAATAATTTGAAGACAGCAATATGCACTATCACCACCATTATTGAATCCCTACTATCTTAATGAGTGAAACACTATACTTTCTAATTTTTAAATTATTTTTATTCTCTTTCATTGTTTGATCAATCTTGCATTCTTACATCTGGTAATCTGAGCAACTTCATCGAAGATAACAATATATAACAACCATTGTTAACTTCCTATCACCTTGTTCTGAAATTCTGTACTATTTTTATTGTTTTGGGGTTGTTTTGTTTTTGTCTTGGTTTTTGTTATTTTGTTTTCTTTTCTCTTTAAAATAAAAAGAAAGAGAGAGAGAGAGACAAAGAAAGAGAAATAGCACCTGAGCCATCCTACTTTTCTGAATCCATGTGGAGCTTTCAATAGTCATGGTTGCCCAATTGCTTTGCCAAAGTAATAACAAAGAGCTTAACTTCTGCGCTGGTCTGGCAAGCAGGAGTGATGACTGTGTGTGCGAGGTCAATTGGTGCACACGGACACTTACTGCAGTGAACAGAAGATGGCACAGCTGGACAGGATGACCATGGGGAGCAGGCAGTAACCCAGCACACTGGCCACACAGCCATAGGACACCCCTGCAGAACTCATCAAGTTCAGTAAGGCATGAATCCCAAGGCAGCCAATGGCACTCATGCCATACACGTAACCAAACTGGACTTTTCCTGCCTGAAACAAGGCAAAGAAAATGGTTTGTAAACTCAAAACACACGGAGAGGAGATCAGAATGACAACAAACTAGAGACTATTTCAGAGTCAGTTTAATGCTATTGCACATCTTTATAGTACCATCATTAAGAGATGGGACTTTAGTAAAAGTAACTGCCTGTAATATGAACTCCAACCTCTAAAACAAACATTCTGACTATACTTTGTTCAGGGCAAGCACACAACAGAAAAGATGAAATACTGCCCTGGCTATGCCTTTTATTATAAGTTTCCAAGTGGTCTTGGTTACTTTTCTCTTGTTGCTGGGACAAAATACCTGATGCCCAAAATTAAGGAAGGAAAGGTTTATTTCGCTTACAGTTTATGGAGGTTTCAGTCCATACTTGGCAGATTACAAGGCAGACCGGCACATGGCAGAGAGCTACAGCTCATGGCAGCAGAACACAGCAAAGCCAGAAAAAACACACACAAGGGAGGAAATGGCCAGAAGCAGCCTCTTGCTCTCCCTTACATATGCAAACTATCCACCCCAGGGCGGGTGCAGCTCTCACACCTATAATCAATCAAACTCTAAAAGCCTGCCCCATGACCGCATGAGGCATTGGGGGGACACCCAGACACAAACCATAACACAAGTCATAGAAGAGTTTATATTTTCTCCTCGTGTTTGCTGAATAACTGAATGATGGAATAAAGGAGTGAAAATCCAAGTTAGTCCTGTAGACTTACAAGGCATATTAGTGATACTGTCATTTGATAACTGCTTCAAATTCTGGCAAAGTTTTAGAATTAAAACAGAAAATAAGTGTTCTATTTTATTAAGCTCAAAATTTTTCAGAATATTCTAAGTTTTTCTATGGCCCATACATAAAAAAGTCATAAAAATAATGCATATGTGATTATGAATCTTCCATTTGCAGGAAAATGAACAGATTTTGATACTGGTTATAGATTTAATTTTGCATTCACTAGTGTGATGCCTGTACTAGCCCATGAAATTATAGATTCCAAGGCAGAGTTAACCCAATGCTGAATGTACTGAGTTAAAATGTATTTCAGTTAATATCCCATTGGAGTTTCAGGAGGAGACAGAGATAGATAGATAGATAGATAGATACATAGATACATAGATAGATACATAGATACATAGATAGATACATAGATACATAGATACATAGATAGATAGATACATAGAGATAGATCCTCCTAAAAATTATACATATCTCAATATATATATACCAACCTTCATAAAGTACATATTTTAACATATCCCCCATAATTTCACAACCAATAGCAATTTAAGCTATTCAGATAAATCTCTTGTCTGAAAGAAAACAAAGAAATTGAAGGCATAGAAATATGAAGCCAAAAAGTGCAACATAACAGCTAGTGTTAGTTAAGGTTTTTTGTCTATATTTCTTTGTATTTAAAACATGAGAAAATATTTAAGTAACTCCAACTAACATTACACACTCAAGAGAAATCTTACTGAGATTAATTCCACCCTTTATGGGATGGTAACAGTAATATTTTCTAAAACTAAACACAAACCAGATAGCTGTTATAGCACCAGTGACTTGGGAAAACAAAGATGAGTTAATATATTGAATTGATTATTTCTGATTATTCTATTACTTGTCTTAGCAGCTAAATCCAAGATTATCAGATTACTGTAACAAAGACAGTAAAGTAAGTTAGAGACTAAATGAAAACTCTAGTTGATAGTGTTTGATTTACAGAATATTTTCATTTGCTGTAGTTCAAAGAAAGAAATGAGATGCCATCGCTATGGTGGTGTTGTTACCACAGTACTGTTGAACTAGACAAATATGTGATTGGTGGCCATAGTACCATGCAGAAACTACAGTGCTGTGGGTATTTTCATTGGTATTAAAAATTAACAAATAGAAAGTTTATTTAGTTGCAAATATACTTTAGACTACTTTTGACAATTGTAGCTGTATTAGCAAAAATTATTTTTATGGGAATGGGATTGAAGAAAGAGGAAGAAGAGAAGTGAATCACTATTTTAAGGGCTTCCCTGGGAATCTCTAATTTTTTATATTATTTCCCTTGCCAAGTTTATCTTTTTGCACCTTAATAAAACTATACTTTTTAGACATAACTTGATTACATATTCTATTTTTAACCTATTACCATTCTCTTCTTGGTATACAGCTGTAGGCTTTTTATCATTTTGTGGTCTTCTTTCTTTTTTAATGAAACGTTTTTTTAGACTATGAGATGGAATGCCTTCTAAACTTAGGTGGAAATATGTTTTTCTTTAGCATTTGAAAGACTGTTAATATTACTTCCAAATAGAAAGAATCAAAGAGACTCACACATAAGATGTATGGGGTGATAAGATAAATCAAGAGGAAAATGTCTTCATAGGATCAGAAAAATAAAATTATAGGGGAAATATATAAGTTGATTAAACAAATCATAAGTAACCATTATATTTTAATTTATTCATAGTAGCCTCATACAAAACAAGGCATCCCATCTTACATCTCACACAATGTTAAAAGTACTCTTGAAGCCTGGTGCACACCTGTAATCGCAGCCCTCGGGAGGCTGAGGCAGGAGGATCGTTGCGAGTTCGAGACTTTGTTGCCTGGGCTGCAAAGTGAGCTCAAGGCCAGCCTGAACTGCACAGCAAGACTCTGTCTCAAAAAGACAAAAAAAAAAAAAAAAAAAAAAAAGTACTCTTGAGACATATTAGAGCAAAGAAAATAAAAGATGAAAGTGAAACAATTCGTCCAGTGTCAAACAGGACTCTCACAGAACTAAACCTTATGCTTTATATTGCTTAAATTCATGTTTTCCTTCAGCTATTCCAGAATGACAGTTATGTCTTAGAAATGGAAAAGACATAAAGAATCTTACTGGATGAAAATTTATGACTTGGTGGTTTGAGTTGTGATATTATATTTAAATTTAAAAATTTTATTGGTTGTCATATGTAATAGCTTCGTTTTTCCCCCATGGTTTGTTAGTATGTCTCGCTAATAAAAAAAGACAAGGTTTCATGAACTAAGCAACTTTCACTATATAAAGCCACATGTTTTCCTCGTTATTTATTTCTCCTTTAGCTACAAGGCTCTCTTCAGAGCTGACTCTGGCCCGGCCCAGCTCACAACCCGGGCTGTGCTGCTGCGCATTACCAGAAACAGGGTGGCTCCCAGGGCTAGGCAGAAAAGGACGGGCCCCGTGAGATCCGTCTCGTTCATAATGCTGCCATCTGCTGGCTTCATTGGGTTTAACACTGTCAACGTTTTCTGCCATATGTGATCAAAATTGATTCCAAGTTCTACAACATGAAAAAAAAGAATATAAACATAAGAAAAAAAAATACATTCTTTAAAGATCCAAGTATTTGATTAGTTAGCATTTAAAACTGCTGGTTCTATTATATCTTCATAATCTAAAATTTTTTCTATATAAAAGCCTTTAAATGGTAGTACTATTGTTATTCTATTATTTTGTTATGAAATTTTATTATATTTTTTCACAAAATAAAAAAGAGAAAATAATTCAATATAAAAAATGCTTCACAGTTCGGGCGTGGCAGCACACCCTGTAATCCTAGTCCTCGGCAGGCTCAGGCAGGGTGGCTGTGAGCTCAAGGCCACCCTGAACCACATAGGAAAACTTTGCCTCAAAATGACAAGCAAATCCTTCTAAAAACAACCTGAAAGAGTTTTTGTTGCCAATCAATGAGCTAAAAGAAATACTTTAGAGAAAGAATTCTATCAAGGAAACTTCTCCCTGATTTTTGCAGTGAATATAAACTTAAAATCTCGTTAAAAATTGGGAAAAACACATTCCAAGGTTTAAAAATATACTGTAGCTAACAAACCACAGGCCTGTCATTGCCGCTTTAGACAGGGCTTCTTCCCATGTTTTCGATTGCCAGCACTTCTGAAATGGTGCCTTACCAACCACGGCATAATTTCGCAATTAGCCCTACCATGTACTCGTCGATCTAAGTCTGGGATTTTCATTCCACTCCACCTAAAGAAAAGAAGGATTTCGTGCCAAATGGGAGAGCTTCACGAAGGAGCAGAAGGCTCTTCCTGGAAGGACAACTCACCAAGACGTCAGACATGTTTTTATAGTCAGTGTACTCTGAGACCGGGCCAAGGTAATCAAAAATTAAATTCCAAAGACAAATTAATCTTTCCCAGTACCTTGAGTAGTGGTATTGGAATAAAATATCCAAAATCAGTGGAATCAGTATCGATGAGCTCAGACTCATTTAGATCTAAGTTTTTGCTCCTTCACTGTCTGCTTTTCAAGGAAATCTGATTGCCCCTCACAGACTTCACTACTAGATTCCTTTTCTTCTGTATTATTTTTATAACGATCTGAAATCCACATAACATAGGGATAAATTTTGATCACATCAGTTTATTTTACTCCTATAAAGATAAACGAAGATGTATCTTGGAGGAAGAAAAATCATTCAATTAAAAAATGTAAGACATATGTATGACTCAAGGTTTGGGAACCAGCGATCAAATGTTCCCTTCTTTCCATCATTTCAAATTTTCAATAACAGTAAAGTAACATCTGGGAAGAACTGAAGCTGAGCTCCAATAAATACTGGATTGTAACAAAAACTAACTTCCATTTCCTGAATGTTAGGTATGGACGCCACAAGATTTATATGCATCAATCTAACAGTCCAGTAAAGTTAGTTCCGTTATTTTATTCCTATTTGATGCATCAGATGGCTGAGGTTTTCAAAGGTTAAATACTTCATCCAAAGTCACAGAATTAGGGGTTGGGGTTTTAGCTCAGCGGCAAAGCGCCTGCCTTGCAAGCACAAGGTCGTGAGTTCAGTTCTCAGTACCGGAGAAAAAACAAAAAAAAACAAAGTCACAGAATTAGTAACAGCAAATGTCAGTTTCCACATCGGACAGTCCGATTCCAGAGCGTATTCTTTTAACCATGGAGCTGCAGTTGGGTCAGTGTGCATCTAATCTCATAGTAGCTATTTTTCAGCTGAACCCAGTAATCCCAGGTGGAGCACTATCTTCCCAAAGTCTTTTGTGTGTGGCTTTCAGCTTTAGCAGGATTTGGCAATACTGTTTGGTGAGATGCTGTATACAACTCAGCTATTTCAATGTTTTGTTTTGGTTTTGGTTTATGTATTTGACTTGGTTCTAAGAATTAAACCTGGAGCCTAACACATGCTACATCTCACTAAGTTATGTCTAGCTCTCGACTTTCCCCCCTACGGCATGTACCACTTAAATACCTCACAAAGCTGACAGTCTGTATACAGCATACAATCATGGAGAGATCTTGCTTTAAAACACAGAAATTTCCAGAATCAGCTAGGCCCTGATCTAAACTAGGACAGGGAGGGTAATTTGTATCACACCTTACATTATGTTCGTCATCCCATCCTTGAAAAGAAATAATTTGACCAGTTGATTTAAGAATGAGCAATTCATGTACGTTTCAATTTCTGAGCTTCCTGTTTTATTTCACATGCGTACATATATATATACATGTATATATGAATACAAACTTTGGAAAATAAGAGCAGTTCATCAAGCTTAAAGTGAGATTAGAATTCTAATATAGTTTTTTAAATAGCACAAATTTTAAATATGAGAAATGCTGTAGTTTAAATTAATTTTACTTAAGGCTTATTTCTTTTTCAAATTTTATTCATTTATGCTAACTACATTTTTCGTGTTTAACACAATAAAGTAGTCTTTAATTTAAACTATCACTCTCTCCTGAAGAAAAGCATAATTATTTCTGAAGAAACCTTTCAGAGAAAGGTTGTTTTATGTAATATAATTACCAATTTTTACCACTTCTTTGCTGGCATGATTCACTTGCATGTTTCCAAGCTGAGTCTCACAAGTGAATGAATACAGACACCTCAATATTTTTCGTAAGAAAACATTTTATATTTCATATATTTTATGTTTTATACTGAAATGTATCTCCATAATATTTTGTTTTCAAATTCACTATAAGTGTATGAAACTTTAAGTATAGCTGTAGATATCTTAATATAATACCTTATTATATAAAATAATGTGAAATTTGAACGGAAAAGTTATTGTTTTGCTGCCATCTAGTGTTAGTAAAGTATATGACGCATGCTATAAAAAATCTTTGTTTTCTATGCAAATTGTGGCATTGACATTTATGTAAATATCAGTCTATGCTACAGATACAAAATTCCAGTTATGAAATATCACTCATTTTTTTCTAGCCTGACAGATTTGAAATAACTATTATTGAAGATAGATTTGCTCACATATTGATGGTACATTATCAAATAACTAAAATTATCATTCCTACATAAAAACCAGACAAACACGTTAAATTACAAAGTCCTTAATGAATAAATGAACATAAGTTCATAATAACATACTTTTGTGTATGGGGTTCATTATTATAGCTTCATAATTTTATAAGCCGTTTTTGTATGTACTCAATGAAAACTAGCGAATGTCATTTGCCACCTTATCCTACTGATCCTGCTAGGGCTTCTTCATATCCGGACAGGTAAGACTTGCAGCTCTCACAAGGTCACCCAGCCCAAAACGAGCGCACTGGCTCAGAACTCCACATATTTCAGAAATTCAAAATGCAAAATTTTATTAGATGTTTGTTCTTCGAGAAGTATTTGGAAGGCGTAATTACAAAGGAAAGATTGAGAAACTCATCCGGAGCTGTATGAAATGGGATCTGACATAGCTCCCATTCAAAGTTGAAGAAAAGCAGAGAAAGATGCATGAGAGTGTGTTGTAGCCGGGCGCGGCGGTGTGCATCTGCGACCTCAGCAGTGTAGGAGCCTGTGGCAAGACGATAGCAAGTTCGAGTCCAGCCTGGATAATTAATGAGACCCCGTTTCCAACAAGTAATTCATTCATTAATTGGCTAATTAATGAATTGAAAGGGCCGGAGATGTAGTCAGGGGGAAGGCCTTGAACGTGATCCCCTGTACCACTAAAAAGTGCCATATACAATATAAATTAGATAACTAGAAAAGATTAATTTCCAGAAAAGTTGTAGGAAAAATTAGCCATTATATGGAGAAAAATAATGATAGATCTTTATTTCCCATAATAAGCTAAAAATACTGTTGAATCAGAAATCTGAAGGGAAGTTATACTTTTAAAATTGGAGAATCTACAAGGGGGTAGAAGCATTACTTGGAGCAAGACAATTAGACTCTAAACAAATAAAGCAATTGGAAAGAAAAGTTTCTCAAAAAATCTGGATTTTAAAGTATATTAAATTGGTATCTCTGTAATATGATGTTTATAAAAATATTTCCATTTATGCTAATTTGTTTCACTTATGGTAATAGTTTATCTTAGTTCATTGAAAAGAAAATTTGTTTTATTATCTGTTTTTCTGTATGAAACTGTTTGGTTTATGTCTCGTACTGAATACCTTGAAGATAATGATATATAGTGTAATAACTATTATTATTCTCATATTATTTGATTGTGAATATTTGTTTCATTTTTTCATAAAATAAAAAAGAAAATGTATTAAAATTTCCATATGCCTCTAAAAAAATTAGATGACAGACACAAGCTAGGAAAAAATGTTTTAAATACATATTCCAGACAATGGCTAACACCTTTAATATGTAAATATTATTTAAAATAGAGGAAGGAAAACTTTTTAAATTTCTATAGGAAATCTGACCAAAAACATGAAAAATATGAAGAAGTAAAAATAGTAAGGTTATGGAAAAAATCTCAAATTTTTCTAATAATTAAGAAATACAGCACAAGTACATCATTTTCTTCTTTTATATCAAAACATATGCTAATGAAGGTGTATTGGAAAATCCATTTTTGAGATTGGTTGGACATAAGTACCTTAGACCTAATCATCCCACTGCTCCAGACACATCCCAGGGACCAACTCAGTATAGGTTTTAGTATGCTGATTTTAGTATGATGTTCATCAAGTCATTACTTATAAGGAAGAACCTTTAAGATGTGGCTAAATTATAGTACTTTTGTATGATGGAATATTATGAAACCATTATAAATCAGCACATTAAGTAGCACATTATGGCTCTGAAGAATTCATTTACTGGGGCTGGGGATTTAGCTCAGCGGCACAGCACCTGCCTGGTGAGTGCAAGGTCGCAAGTTTGATTGCCGACACCGGAAAAAAACAAAAAAAGAAAAGAAAGAAAAGAATTCATTTACTAAAATAATTACTATAATTGAAAAGAACATAAAAATTTGTATCCACAATATAACCCAAGTTCATTTTTAAAAATTCAAATATAAATACATTAATTGAAAAATAGTATTTAACTTAAAGTATTTGTGAGAAAATGTAGCTATACATAATGGAATACTACTCAACTATAAAGAAGGGTAAATTCAAGACGTTGGTAGGAAAATGGATACCCCTGGAAAACATAAAGTGTAATAAATCAGACACACAAGCTTACATACCATCTAGTTACTCTCATTTGAGGAATGCAAAGTGCAAATGAAGAGCAAAAGAAATGACTGGTCAAAGTAAACAGGGAGCTAGATCGTTTGCAAGTGGGAAGGGGTCCAAGAGACTAATAGGGCAAAGGAATTATAAAAAGTTTTAAGGTGTGCCATGTACATGTACCAAATACCACAATAAATGCAAACATTAGATGTCTTAATCCTAACAATACAACAACAATAACAAACATGGGAAAGGAGGTCTAGAGACACAGGGACAGAGGTGGGTGAAAAGGGGAAGATTAAAGGAAGATTCAAGATCTGTTATCCATGTGTGCCTGCCTCCTAGGAGGAATGTGAATTTCACCTACTGCAAACTTGTACTAATAAAATGAAAGTTAAAAATAAAGTGTCTGTACATTACCTATCTACCTATCTATCTATCTATCTCTCTATAGGACACACTCACTGGAAAATAAGAATAAAGGTTGGAAGGTTATATCTCAAATTTTAATAGTAGTGATGCCTTAAAGACAAGATTTAAGGGGCTGGGGATTTAGCTCAGTGGCAAAGCGCTTGCCTGGCAAGCACAAGGTTGTGAGTTCGATTCCTGGTACTGGAAGAAAAGACAAAAAAAAAAAAAGACTTAAAATAATTTTATATTTTCCAAAGTATATCCTGAGTACAATTAGGCAACTGATAGTTTTTTTGAAGCAAAGATGGTGGAGTCGAGAAAGGTGTCTAATGAGAATAGCTCAGAACTTCCCGGTGTTTATTAATTTCAGTATGAAAGAGATGAGCTTGTTTAACACAATGGGCCCCCAAATTTAATTGGCTTCTAAAGAATCAGATCTATCATACATTTTCTCTGTTTTTCTGAATAGTTTAAATCTCTCACTATTTTACAATTTTTAGGCAAAAAAGGGTGGCCACTTGCATTCATAAGAGAAAAATAATGGTACTTCGGTTGTCTATTGGAAATTTTAACTTATTCCTTTTCACTGTCTACATATGAAGGAACTGTATTTATAAAGCTCTTGAAGCAGTTAGGCCCTGCTTGGCTCCCAAGTTGAAATCTACTTGATTTTTAATGTTTTGGCACTTGTCTTTCTAGCTTTACATTGGCATTCTTTTAAAGCAAAACCAACAGATATAACATGGTGGATTTTTTAAACAGCAATGAGTCGAAGTCCCCTAAGGAGTCCTGGGTTTCCTTCCTAACAGAAGTGTTATTTAGTGGAACCATGTTCTTCTCCATCTCCCCAGTCCAAGTTGAGATGAGGACTCATGAGACTCAGAGAAGAAAAACCTTGGCTTGTCTCCATGTCAACAAAAACAAATGTCAGTTTGAGAAACTATTCCCTTTGCCTCCAGCAAACAGAGCAGAAAACAAAATATGTTACTATGAAGTGCCTCATTAGCTGAGGTGACAAGGGTGGCTGCCTTAATATGACCAATGTGTGAAAAGATGGATATACTATCGTCTGTACATGGCCAGGGAGTCTAAATTTAAGAAATACTGAGGAAACATTTAATGCCTGCAGCAATAGCACGATCATATGTCCAAATTTCTCCACATTCATATAACAAACTTCCAGTGGTCTGCAGGTCTTGGTTTGGCAGATCTTGTTCTATATTGAACAATCACACATAAACACTGCACAGGGCATGCTGACAACACCCGTTAAGTGTTGATTACTGTTATTATTCTTTCAGCTTTACACACACTAATAACACTTCCTGAACTTATCTTCTAGCAAAGGAGGCTCTTCATCAAAACCGTCGCTGTAAGGTGATTGCAAATAGTGATCCGAGGTGGGCGCTGGCTGAAAGAGTTGTCCTGGGTAACTGGGTGCCGTGAGCATCTCCGGAGGAACAAGAGAGGTGGGGTGGGGCTGCCCCTCGGCTTGTTGTCTAGAAAACGAAAAATGGTGATATTTGCACATTGAGTAAAGGGTTATCCAGACAAATTGAGAGAGGAAGCTGCAATTTTCCTTATTATAAGATTTTACTTAGTTTCTATGTATATTTATGCAAGCAAGAAATAGCCTACTTAAAATTTAGCTTTCACCCCCCAAAAATAAAATAACTGGTTATGAAAAAGCTTCCAGAAGAATGCTGTATCCCAACCAATATAAACTGAGCTTGTACTGTATGCTGGGCACTGCCCTCAGATTTTCCAATTAAAACTCTATCAGGTCAAAGCTGTTTTGTGAATCCCACTTAACAGAAAAAGAAACAGAGGCTTGGGCTGGGGATTTAGCTCAGCGGCACAGCGCCTGCCTGGCTAGCCTGAGGTGTCATGAGTTCGATTCCTGGTAGCGGAAGAAAACCAAAAAAAAAGAAACAGGCTTGTGGGCACCAAATGATTTGATCAGCATCACACCATCACACTGCAGGTGTGGCATCCGGGCTGAGGCTCTCTGAGCTGTTCCCTGTATGTTATAGCTCCTTTAGATGTTCATAGGCAGTCACCAACTGTGTCCTCCCTGTCCCTCCGCAAAAACAGCAACTGAAATAATTTTATTAGTACAGTCAATTCAAGAGGAAAAAATAAGCGCATAAATTTAACGTTGTCTATAAAGAACTGCACTGTGCGGTTCTAGCCATTTCCAATTAATACAAATGAATCATCCTTGAGGATCTAGGTAAGTGTATTATGTTGCTAGCTTCCAAATATCTCTTTAGAAATGCATAATTTAGTTTCACTAAAACATGATATTACCTCCTTGACTGTGTTTTTGCTCTGTGTTTTTGTATTTGTGCGAGAAAGTTGGAAAAATATTGATATTTCTAAATTACATCTTGCTAGAGGTAGAGAAAGGAAGAAAGGAAAAGAAGGAGAGTGTGTGAGGGTATTTGTTCATGATATATACTTTTACGTGTAGGAAGAAAATAAAACAAAAAATAGCCCATTAACTAGTTTAAGATTTTTTCCTACTGATGGCCTTTAACCTAAACTAAATGTACAATCCAGCATTTTGAATATGGGAAGTCCCTGTGATTCATTATGCTAATATATTTTAAAACTGTTTTTTAATGATTTCCTTTTAACATTAATCATAACACCAAGTCTAAGAATAACATATTTAACCTCGGTAAACCTGCCAAGAAAATAACTTATTTTGGCAAATAATCCACAGAGATAGGCAGAGACACATGCACTTAATCAATTACTAACTGAACCATAGCTCATTAAGTATTGCAACCAGGTGTGCTTCTTAAACCCCCAGAACAACTACTGATTACCGCAGCTGTCCATTTAGCCATGTGGCATGCTCCTAATCTTTTTTCCTTTTTTTCAGCAAAATAGGCACAATACCAGAAGTAACAGTAGAAGCAAATTATAAGTAAGAATCTAAATGCCTTCTTGGTGGTAAAATTCTCCTCATATGTATTTTTAAATATATGTCTTTCTAGAAAAATAAGAGGCAAATAAAGTTGATTCAATGGACCAGTGTCTGAATGAGATTTTCATTGATATACTTGCCTGGCATCATCCTAAATCTTGCACAGGTGCAGCTAACCAGCTTGAAGAAGTAGAGCTGTCACAGTCATTGCCCATAAAGCAACTTCTGTAAATTAGAAGACTTTGCATGGGTATTCTGTGCTAGTCTCACATCCGAAGGGAAAATGCATTACAAATACACATATGCTCATCACCACCAAATCCTGTCACCTACTTTTCCTCTATTCCTTTTTGTTCCTTCATCTAGTAAAACTTCTCCAACAAGAGCTTGGTTTCTACTGTGTTATTATAAGAACATAATTATAAATTTCTTCACCATTTAAGGAAGCACATTTTAAAAATTTCCCTGAAAAACCCTCAAAATGTTTTATTTATAAGATTTACTATTCTTGACTTTCATAACTGTCTAATTTAAAATTCTATCTCAGGCAACTTAAACTTTGTATGCATTGGCTATAATATTTAACATTACATCTTCATGAAGAACACCCAAGCAGTACAAAAATAATCTCATTAATAGTCTATAGTCCCACCTGGAAATCTCTCTAAATATTTATAATCCTCATGTTTTAGATCTTTCCTCTGAAACTGTTATGAGCAACCAAAGTTTTAAGCACTTTTCTAAACCTAGTTCCATATGTTCTGGTATCATGCTTTTATAATAGATAGCACCACTTAGAATGGCTGTGCCAAAGAGTTCCTTAATACAAGGGGTGATCTAAACTACAGTGAATGCTTAAGTAAATATTTTACTTCTGTAAAAGATACTTGTCATGAATTTCTTTCAGAATAGTACCCTTCACTTTGAAGAATGAGGAAGAGGAGGAGAAGAGAGGAAGAGGAAGAGAGAAAAGGAGGAGCAGGAGGGTGAAGGAGAATCAGAAACTGATTGATTAGTTATAAGTATTCTCCTGATCCCCATATTTCCATATCTTTGTCAGTATAACCATCCTCTGGATTCCTAATGATTTTGCGAGAGTGATTGTCATCTCATTTTGATTTGGGGTGGATTTCAATTGAACTATTCACAGTATGCATAAGAGACAAGATATTTGGAGTTCCTTTGATGTATACAAGTAAATCACTGGCCTGACCCCATTTTTATGTACCTTGTAAAGCCATCACAGCTAACAGGCTTTCCTACTTTTGGAGGCTCGCAGTGTGGGTTGTAATTTGTTACTACATCCAAGTTAAGGCTTGGACATAAATTATAAGCATCTAAAACATGCTGGGCCAGTGTCTTGAGTCGGTGCAATCATGAGCTTCTTTTATTTGGTTTTCTTTTTTTCTTTTTTTTTTTTGTTTTTTTTTTTGTTTTGTTTTTCTCCGGTACCGGGAACCGAACTCACGACCTTGCGCTTGCCAGGCAGGCGCTTTGCCGCTGAGCTAAATCCCCAGCCCCCTTTATTTGGTTTTCTTAATTTCTATCTTTTGTCATCTTGATTTTGAGGCACTGTTGCTGTGACAGTCAAAAAAGAAATGAAAATTGGGTTGTGTGGAATGGCAGAAGAAAGCGTTTGTCCCTCAGTCTTTGCTTAAGGAAAAACTTTTGTCTGCCTCTTGTTGGATTTTTTGTTTACTTTAGTCTGAGAACGTAGATAGTACTGAAATAATTATCTCATCTGGGAAAGAGAATGCATAAAATAAATAGATGTTTCAAGGCAACTAGTTCTTTTCTAAAAAACAGGAGAACAGATGTGGAAAAACCTATTAAATACTTCCCATTGTAGCTATACACTTAGATTGACCATCCTGGAATATAATGCTCATACTATTCTCCTCACCTCAAGCATATTTCCATTGTTTCTTCATCTTCCAAAGTGTAAGTCATAAAATGCAACCCTACTGCTAGGATTCCATACAACAGGACACAATAAGGATGTGAATGAGTTAGAATTCCAGATATTTAACCTTATCACTTGTACCAAGATCATACCTTTTCCCTACCCCTTAGACGTCTCATGGTGCATCAAGAGAAACCAGGAAGCTTGTGAAAACAGTCTCTACCTGCTTTTATTTATAAGAGTGACCAGCTGGTGAAAACAAGTCCACGTTTCCCTGGGCAGAGTTGACATATGATCCCGTCCCCCACGGCATATTGTATTTACTACTCTTTCCATCTCGAGCTCTTAAGGTAACTTTTCCATGTTTAACAATAACCTTTAAGAATTAATACATTTGAAATATTTGTTATAAGTTCATTTGGCCTAGACTTGTTAAAATGATATAGAAACCAGCCATCCTAATTTGTCTAAGATGTTCAATCTATTCCTAGTACCCCAATGTTATTGTCAATAATACATATTTTAAACTAAAATGTCTTTATGTTACACTAAATCATATGCTCACCTTCACTAAGGACCTAATCAAGCAAGTGCAGACTAGAAGTTTAACACTATTTGTTATGTATAAATCTTAGAGGTTTCTTAATTCTTTATGTGGCTGGTTTCTCAGATGCAAAATGAGAATAATAGATTTTATGTCATAAGGTTGTTTGAGGATCCAGTGAGTTAATTTATATAACTTAGTTTCTAACATGTAACAAGAGATCAGTATTAGTTACTATAAGAGTTGTTCTCACCCTTCTCCCTATCCATTAACCTAGATCCACAAAAGAGTAGGCAGAAAAGCAACTGTATAACCAAGTACAAAAAGGTTAAGAGATTTCAGACAATAAAATGTCAATTGCTCTTGTAAATCATATTTATGTCACATGTAAATCATCAATTTGTTACACACTTTCCTACACATTATCACAATTACTATTTATGATCATTCCATAAACTAGATATTCTTAATAGGAGCATGGCTCAAATGAACACAGAGAATTTGTCTTCCCATTGTCATAAAGACAATCAATACAAAAGCCAGACTTCAATCAGTCTCCTCACCTTAAATACAGTATTTGCCACCAAATACTAAATAAACATGTGATAGATCGTGTTTTATATTTAAGTTGAATTTTCACTGAAAATAACTAATGTGTTTTGAAATATATTTTGTGTTGGTTCTAGCATAACAGTTTTGTAGGCATAACACATATTGCCTATATTTTCTAAATGCATATTTTAAACTCCCCAAAATAAAATCTTAGCTTTCATGATGGGAAGACTGGATGTCATCCTTACCTTTGGGTTTGAATTATCCATAATTTATGACACAAAACAGACACTCCATAAATGCATATTAAATTTAATGAAATCTGGCTTTCAAGCAATGTCCTGAAAAAAAACTTAGGTAGAAAGAAAGTTTTCTATTTGCCTAGCACTTATACTTGGGATCCCTGCCAAGTGCTATTTGGAAGAGCAGATAAGAAGTTAACTTAGCAGTTGTCCTCAAGTTATAAAGCACACTTACCTAGAACTGGATCAATTTCTCCCCTGTTTCTTATAATTTTGGTGGGGGGACTTTACTGAGAAATATCTCATACTGCAGAGAACTTCATCTTCTCCCAAGGAAGACTCTCTATCTGGAATCCTTTACCATAATATTAACACTTATCAAATTGGAGGATATATACTCAATATACAATACTTACTCCCCAGATCCATAAAGATTTCCATAGGCAATGGCATCATTATAGCTCTGCACCTGATCATCAATAGTATAATTAGATTGGTAAAAGTCAGTGTCAAGTTGCCCCAAGTTTGACATCCTGAGAAAAAATAAAAATATTTTTTCACTAAGATCACAGGTCAATATACTTTGGAAACAGTCACAAAGATTAACTGATATTGTGATTCTGACTGTAATCCTGTCAAAGAAAAGATCTTCTTTAAAAGATAAGTTAAATATTGGGGAAAGGACATGGAAATACACGTTAGAATGTCATTAACAAAATGTGTTGTCTTCAACTACTTTTTCTGAAGTTTTCACATCTTCAGATGGTGACTAAATAAATGGACTTTTATCTGAAAGAATTAACATTCTAAAATATTACCAACTAATTTATCCTTTGTAGTTCAAGAAAAAAGTTTAAAACTTTGGTACACATATATGAAGTTTTCCCTTAAGGCAAAGAGCTGGTTATAATAATAATTGTATTTGAGTTTTATTTTCCTGGAGTCTTAAAGTTTGCTAACAACCTTTCTGCTCTATAAAATAAAACAAAGCACACAAATTTATTTCTTAGTTCTATGTAGAAATATCTATAAGTATTCGGAATATTTTTTTTTTACATTCCCAGGATGCTGATTCTGGGCTCCTGGCTGAGTTTGAAAAAGAAAAGCTTTCTTTTTTATCTCTACACCTGCACAGTTTGTACTCATTTCTAGTAGTGGAGAGAAATGCGTGGCCTTGACTTAGTGCCTAAGGCCCAGAATACCAGATGAAGAAAATTGTGAAAAGGGAACGAGACGAGGACAATGAGGTTAAAAAGGTGACCTGGATCTTTAGATAACAATTAGAAAATACTTTGCAATTAAAGTATTGATACTTTTCAATTAAAGAAATATTACTAAAAACCATTTCAATCCTTTTTCTTTGACAACATTTTTATTTTAAAAAAATTACTTAGAAGCAACTAGGAGCAAGCCATATAATTACAGTCATCTACACGACACTAGCTGTTATGAATGCTAAATGAAATTACATAAGCAGCCTTAACTCTAAGAGTCTCATTAATCAGAAATGTTCAAGGAACAATTGTTAAATATATCAAATTTGTTCAGGTCGGTAAAAATACAGAAAGCTTTTCTAAAATTAGATGCAGTAATTCATATATCTGATTTAATAAATCAAGATTTTTCATTAGCAAATGTGTATGAAAGTAGCTATGAATTATTTAAACTAAAATCAGAACTGAGTAATGAATCTTTTAACACCTTATAATTTAGAGAACTTAAAATTTAATAGTATAACTTCTCAGTCCATAAAAACGTTATTATAAAGCACGGAGAATAATTTCACGGAGACTACACTAAGTTTTCATAACATGAAAAGTTTTATGTAATATGAATAATGGTATTACATAATCTAGCTTCATATTTTATTTAAATGTCAAGTCTCTGAGAAAGATGAGACGAATTTGATACATACCTCTATATATTTCACGTGGAAAGATCCTCCAACTGGTGCAGCTTTACTTTGGAGATTTAAAGCAAATCAGTTGGTGAAAAGATGACGAGATGGTTATATTTATAGCTTTCTAAATTTGTACACTGACACCCTGAACAGATGCTACAACCAAAAAAAAAAAAAAAAAGCCTACCAAAAGCCAAATACAGTGTCTTATAACACTTTTTATAATTTACAAACACAGTAAACAGTGTACACACATAACTTTGATGTGGAAAAAATTATATTCAGTTTCAGTTTCCTTGTGTGTACGTTCATTAAATTTTAAGATAAGACCATTTATTTGAGGCAAGCAGTGGAAAGTAATAGGCTCAACATTCTTTCCACTTCTGTAGTGTCCAACCTGATAGGACTTCCTAATTATATGCAGTAAAAAATCAATATAAGGTATATGATCTTAATATGAAGATCTTAGCACCAAAATGAAAATGGGGTATTGTTCAGCTTTCCCAATGCTACTACAAAGTACATGACTCCCACAATGTAGAGGATGAAAGGTGTAATTTCATTCATGGCTCTAGAAATTTCAGTCCATGGTCAGCTGGCTCCAAAGCAGAAGCATCATGGCAGAAAGGAATGGTGGAGAAAGGTGCTCAGTTCATGGCAGCTGGAAAGCCGAACAGCACCAGAGAGGAAGAAGCCGGGGGCACACATATTAGTCAAGATCATAACTCCAAGACCCATTCACACACACCCAGAGGTGTGCTTTACTAACCACTTGGGAAAGTCTCGAGCCGATCAAGTTCACAATCCAAGTCACATAGGGTACTACCGATTTTACCAAATCTTAAACATTTAATTTATATGAACAACCTTTAGCAAGACTACACAGCATCTACCTCTGACTTTTTTCCTGCTTGTTATGTCTCAAACAAAGGTCAGTACAGATAGACATGCACAGCAAGTTCTGTCTCATTTCTAGGCATAAAGAGTGAGAGCCCGGCACAGTAGCGCACTTCTGCAACTTCAGCACTCCGCAGGGTTAAGGAAAGAGGACCGTGAATTTGAGACCAGCCTTGGCACCTTAGTGATTAAGTGACACACTGTCTCAAAATTTTAGAAGGGCTGATGATGTAGTTCAGTACAACAGCCCTCGGATCAATCCCAAATACCAAACACACACACACAATGGAGAGTGAGAAAGGAATATGATTTGAGTACTCCGAGGGGCTCATTGGATAGAGAATTGGTCGATGAAGCAGAAGTCACTTGAAAGACTATATGAAGAGCATTTCAAATGAAGGTTTTGGTTTGTCAGCGTGAGGTTTAAACAGGTCAATGTGAGTAGCAGCTTTTCACCATGGCGAAATTGAGGATGAGTCAGAGGAGTGAGCAGAGGCAAGATAACAAGGGACACTGTTGGTCATGATATGGAATCTATGTCATTACAATTGAAATGAGATGCCACTAAAGCATTTGAAGCAATAAGGATATGATCAATTTTATGCAGGAATGCACGAGGGAGACTGGCTGGGAAGAGATGGTTACAGTAACGGAAGAAGACTTCATAACATACAGTTTCTATCAGGAGGGAGAGGAGCACTCCTGGAGAATGATCTCTAGAATTCTGGCCAATAGTTATTTTTAAATATTATTGGAAATGGCCAAATTGTTGTTTAGTGACCAAATTTTGATCATCCTTTCTATTCCTTCTTTCAAGATTCTTTCTTAGTTTATTTCATTCTTATTAATATCAGCTGCACATATTAACGGGTTTCATTGTGATATTTTGACAGATGCAGGCAGTGTGTACTAGTCAAATCGGGATGACTAGCATCAAAGTTATTTCTCTGAGAACATAGGTTCCTAACTACAACAGCAGGTACTCAGGACTCGTTTTTCCCAATATATAAATTCTAACATACAAAGTCACTGAAAGACTTACCAAATGTAATATTATAAATCTTATTTATTTATATAAATTTTAAACTTCTGTGAGTGTGAATTTTTCCACAGAGTTTCCTTCATGAAAAATTGGCTTGATTAAATGAGTTGCAAAAATACATAAACCAAAAATAGGATATAAAAATGAAATTAATCTAAATCCCAAGCGAGCTGTAAGTCATGAAACATTGAAGAACGAATGACTTCAATTTCCTGAGAAGTGCAGTAATGAATCATTCATGCACATGCCAGAATACTTTAAAGCTACTTTTATAATTGAACACTGTATATGTAGAAAACTGTCATTTTTTTCCATTAACAGACCATCTAAATTTTATATTGCATGTTGAAGGATAAAGCTTAAATCAATATTATATTCAGTTAGTGTCATCAGTTTATATTATTGATTTAAATACTTGTTAGTTCTCTGTGATCAAATACTGAATATGAATAGATTTTCAATTTATAAAAAGTGTCATGTTCTACTCACACTTTCCTTTCTTTTCAATTCCTTTTCTCTTCTCCCTCTTACCTTCCCTCTGTCCTTCCTTTCTCTCTATTTTCTCTTTCAAGTTGATCTTGTCCACCTCCCTTGCTTTATTTACCTCTACACATACATAATTCCCAAAGTTACAGGGCAACCATGCCTTTTCTTTTCAGCTTCAAACTATTTAATAGACACTTCAAACAACATAATCCAAATTGAATTGTTTATGTATTTCCTTCTCAGTCTCTTTTCCATTTCAAGAAATGTCATCAAAAAAGTGTCCACTCACACGAATCAGAAATCATCTAATTCTGCAATAAGTTCTCCCAATTCTATTTCTAGATGCATTAGTCACTTTTCCATTGCTGGGACAAAATACCCTCTAACACATAATTTAAACAAGGAAAATTTAATTGGATCACCATTTTTTTAGTGAGTTCAGTCCACGGTAGGCAGCTCAAAGGCGGAAATGGCATGTTGGGAGGGCCTGATAGAGGAAACTTGCTTAGATCATGGTGGTCAGGAAGCAGATGAGAAGACAGAAACCAAGGAGGTTGATACACACTTCCAGGTCATACATGGAGCAACCCACTTCCAACCAGGAGCCATCTCCTATTAGCACAGTCTGCCAAGAACTTGTCAATGGATTAATCCACTGATTAATATAACAGCACCATGATCCATCCCTCCAAAAGCCATATGTCTGAATACAGGGGACTTTGGGGGGATATTTTAGATCTAAACTATCACAGTAAAATATATTTTTCACTAATCAATTCTCTGTATTTCTATTGCAATCAGCTTGATTGAAGCCATCATGTTCTTTTACTTAGAGTTCAATTCATAATTATTTCACAAATTGAAATACCACTTAAGAAACAACAAATTGTAGCAGGTAATAAAGCATATACAGAGACTATTAAAAGTATACATTTAATGACACATCAATTTGCCAAAATCAGATTTGTGGTTGCTAACCATAATTAGCAGTCAAGATCAGGAAAAATAATATCCATACACAATTCCTTAGTATCTTTCAGTGTGGAAGAGATTATGAGCTCCTCAACAGCTCTATCAGGAACAATTTATCCTGTACCTGACTATAATTCATACTTATTTGTGTTAAATGAAAAGATAAATGGTTAATGAATGATCCCCACTATTGGGTCTGCAATCTTAGAATCTAATGTGCAAATGTCATTTACAGATATGAATGTTGTATAAAATTATGACACCCATCACTATAATCTTCTGATGTAAAACAGGAAGCTTAGAAAGGTCAAGTGACTTGTGCAAAGCCACACACCTACTTTGTGACCAAACTTATTCTGCAACATCAACTGTCTCAGCTCAGTTTATGTTCATTACTGAGTATCTCCAAAAATACTACTTATGATTGTCCAAGTCAGGTGTCATGAATTTTTGGCAATTCTCTATGATGATTAAAACTCTCCAAATATTTTTGGGATGAATGGAGCTGCCAATAAACCGAAAGAAAAAATGTGTTATCGTTCTTTTTCTCAGCTAACAGAGAAATGTATAGTTAAAACAGTTTTTATCAAGCAATAACTTTATTTTGGCAATCTGTATTAAAATATAATGTCTATTGACTACATCTCACCTAGAAATTACCATAATTATGAATACAGAGAAAAATACACACATTCTACTTTTCATTATTTTTTCATGTTTTTTAGTCAGAGTTCTCTATATTCTCTTTTTGTTAGTACCACTTAAGATTTCTTCTATTCATTAAACACCAGATTTTTTTATTTCTATAAGCCTGAAATCACAGGATATATATCATAGTCATATGAAAATGGGCACAAAGTTTTATTTCAATGCATGAGTTTTCAAGAGCTCAATATATCTTATGAAAGAAAATTATAAGATTTTGTTCCACTAATTCTGCCATAATTATTATTAACTTTTAAGTTGGCCACTTCTTGTTAGCTTCTACTTTGATTATACTAGAAAAAACGGCATCTAGCAGACTTATTAATGAATTCCTATTAAATTTTAATTTTGGCAATAACTAAATATTAGCACAAACACAATTTGCATCTGAAACTATGAAATTTCATATGAACAGTAATTAAGTAGAATAGTCTTAGGAATCTTATTATTATAATGGTCTTTTAAAGTAATATAATTGCAAATCGACATTGTATATATTTAGAAAAAATAACATAATTATCATAGGAAGCCTTCCTTAGTAATTGTATAAATTCTCCACAAAATCAGAAATCTTCTACAAGAACAAAAATGGGAACTTTCAAGGCAAAATGCAAAACATGTCAAATAACTTCTTGTAGCAACTTATGAGGACACACAGTTATGTACTGGTAACCACATAGGCCTTTAGTTCTGTTATCTGTAGAAAAAATAAAGCTTACCTACTTCTTAGTTACTATTTTATCTTTACATCACTTATTTAATTTTATTTTTATATTTTTCATATTATCGATAAATTATTAGTCAACACATGTGTTATAATCAAACCATACAGTAAATGTTTAAATTTAAAATATTATTATAGTAAAAGACACACTGCTATTAATCCTCCTGAAAATACTCCCCTCAGCTTCAAACCCAATTATACCATCTTTCTTGCCACTTTCTGAAGCAGCTCTGGAAGTCCTCTTTCATCAGTATCTTTATGAGGTATGATAAA